GCTGGTCTAACACATGCAGTGGGTGGGAAGTTCCAGGTGATGTAGTGAAATGGTGCTGACCAAGAATCTCCATGTTACATCCCACCAACTGAGACACAAGACTAGACTGCAAACAACATCTATAAACGTGCAAGTTTCTACATCATAAACATTTTGTTAGGAACAAAATTGCTGTATCTATCATTGGTGTAGTCAAACAGAAAACAATATACACAGATTCTTGACATGGTAAACAATGTTACAGATAGAGCAGGACCTTCACCAGAACAATTTGAGATACTGAATGAGTGAGTTTAGATTGACAACACCTTTTCTTATCTATGTCAGAGGAAATGTCACGTGAGAGTGAGTGAGTGAGTTGGGTTTAACAACGCTTTTAACAGAATTCCAGTTATTTCAGCTTAATGTGTAAGGAAAGCCCGAAGTGATGCAGGTCTCAAACGTTTACCACTTCAGTGAAACCCACGAGCATGGTGCTGACAAACCTAGAAACATAATCGGGGGGAACCGGTCACGTGAGAAAGGTCATAGACATCTACCACTGTGAAGAAACCCACCAGTACGGCTATGGTACTAACAGACCATTGACAATTATCTGAACATTTTCTGGGGTTCAAACCAACATAATCAATAACAGAAGCTAAGATTTATAGAATCATTCAAACATAATCATAGTGTGCTGATCTGCTATACAGGCTACAGAATAAGTTATTTTCTAAAGTCTGTCTTAGTCTCTATAAACGCGCTGTATTTGTGAACCTGACTCACAGAAACAATGCAAAAGCTGACATATCTCAACAGTTGAGGATGAACAACAGCCTTTGATGAGGTATACACCCAATAGCAGGTAAATATGGACAAGCCGTCAAGACAAGACACGGATGTGTTGGCTCACTCAACATGTGCTTTCCCAAAGTACTCTGGGAAATAAATGGGAAATAAAGACACTTCTAATCTTTCTAAATCCTGCATGATGCTTACTTGCTGTGGATATGTTCATTTCATGACAACTCCCATCCCTAAAGTATGAGTCTCTGATCTGAAATAAAGTATAAAGCACGACCAGCCTCGACAATATTGCATAGAAATTCAAACCATATTGCATGATGATACGTAATGACTAAATTGCACTATCAATCTAGGATTATTTGTTCTTACAGGCAATAATCGTGTTACACAGATGATGTATAAAGGACACAGCAACGTCTAAAGCATCCACCATTACCCAGTATGGTAGTCTCCATTCTATAATACCCTGGGCCCATTCACCACCATTAGTTCAGTTTGACTGACAAAAAGCCATCCAATCAAATTACCGTATTCAACGTAATAAGCGCCCACAGCGATATTTGCTAATTTATTGGCCAGTGAACAATCCCAATTAACTCCCCTTCCGATTGATCAATGTACACAAGACTTATTTATTCGCATATAATATGCACTCATATGTTATATGCACACTTAATTATGGGCAATTAAATTCTGGAAAAATATAAACATTTCAGGCTGTCAGCTGTCAGAAATTTATCTTAATAATATTCTAATAAGAGCCCACTATTACTAATTTTGAGAGCGCCCTGGGCGCTTATTACGTCGAGTACGGTACAGTTATTTCATGATTAGTACAAGGGGCAATATCACATGATATCACATTACCGTAGTCACCATGTTGCACACTATATTAAAGACACCTAGGAAAGCCTGGCAGAATGAGGATAACACCTTTTTCAACAAAAATGTGAGCGAGTATGGTTTTACGCTTCTTTTAGCAATATTCCAGCAATATCACAGCAGGGTACACCAGAATATGGGCTTCACCCACAGTAGGGAATCAAACCCGGGTCTTCGGTGTGACGAGCGAACGCTTTAACCACTAGGGTACCAAACCGCCCATTTCAACTAAAAGACCATTAGTAATAGTGAGTGAGTGGGTGAGTTGGGTTTAACGTCGCTTTTAACAGCATTCCAGTTATATCAGTTCGGTGAAACCTACGAGCACTGGTATGGTGCTGACAAACCTTAAAACATATTCAGGGCAAACCAGGATTCAAACCCACAATCATAAGTTTCTTGCGTGCCCAAGGGACGCAACTCTGCACAGTGAATTGCGGTGCCTTAGACGACTGCCCTCCCCCCATTAGTAATAGTCGTCTTCTATAAAACACAGGAAGGCCTCACTTGTTTGAGAGCATAATTCTAAATGTAGGTCTATGCCAAACTCTCGTTCAGAGTCATTTGATCACCTCTTCGGTTCCAAGCTCACAAGAAAGAGAAATGAAAGTTAATGGTGGGAGACATGGAGATGTCACAGAAACAAAGCTCTGGTGGAGAAGCAGTCCAGGGTATATTTGCATAACAGAATGGAGATATAATCCTGGATAGTCAAGGAAGGCAACGATTCACAAGTGGTACACTCACGAAACACACTCAGACAAATACAATCGACCACACAAGATATCTGACTAAACACTCACAGCCTTTTTCTCATCCAGGCTGTATTTCCAGCCAACCATTTTCTTTCGTAGAACAAATATTATATATTTGAATATGTACAGCAAAATTTCATATTATATTACACAATGCAAATCTGAACAAAGCCTTGCTCAAACACCACATGCTATACAACTTTGAATGTCCTCTACGGGAAAGGTGAGTTCTGGGTTAAGCAACGCCAACAATTAACAAATTTACCCCCACACCTGCCTTACATATACTTTTTATATGCTTGTTCGTTGTTTAACACCACACTCAGCAATATTCCAGCTATATGACAGTGGCCTGTAAATAATCATATCTGGACCAGACAATCCAGTGATTGATATTAAAGGCAAAACTCCACGGGGTGTGATGACACACAAGCAACCAAGTCACGGAGTTGGACCTGATCCGTTGCAAGAACAGGTTGTTTCAGTTTCATGTTGTTTAACGCCGCACTCAGCAATATTCCAGCTATATGACGGCGGTCTGTAAATAATTGAGTCTGGACCAGACAATTCAGTGAACATCGAACCACGCAATTGGGATACGATGACATGCATCAACCAAGTCAGCGAGCCTGACCATCCAATCCTGTTAGTCGCCTCTTACAAGCATAGTCGCTTTTTATGGCATGCATAGTCGCCTTTTACAGCAAGCATGGGTTGCTGAAATCCTATTCAACCCCGGATCTTCACGGGTCCAAGAACAGGTTGCCCGGGACTTATTCCTATTCCTAAACCTATTCCTATTCAGGAGCAGGGGACACTGAAACTTGGACCTATTTATTATTTAGACTGACTCTTAATCAGTACAAATTATAGTTGGGAAATAAAATCAGAAATTAACAGCTCAACTGGCAAACATTGACACTTCTGTGCTCATACAATCACACCAATCTTGTTGGCTGAGAACAAGGAATTTCAATATCGTCTTGGAAATGTCCAATTCTACAACAGATCTCATTTTGTGTATTTTCTTGTCTACTTCTATATAGCATGTTCACTGACCTAGATTATTGGGTACTGAAAGAAATCTTTGAACATTTTTCCCTGAAAAATCTGTAATGTGGTAGAGATGTACTTATGGAATGTTGTTCTGCATCAAACTTATGGACAAATGCAAATAAGTTGATTAAAGTCTGATAACAACTAAACATCTAAACTAGGTCTAAAATTCAACATGCACTATTTCAAACACATACTCAAATTGCCTTTGTACTAAACAATTACTTTTTTTAAAAATCAGGTTAATTCTTTGAGCAAACCTGACACAAGTTTAACAACAAATGCTTTAAAAATAGTCACACAGCTCTGAAGCTTACCTCAACTTGTCTGGAATATTTACAAAATAGGGTCTCAAGTTCATCATAAAATGGTAAACAAGAATATGTAAGCGTAAATATTTCCACACAAATAAAAGAACCTGAACATTTCATGATCGGCCATTTCAGGGTCAGAATTCAAAACAGGACAAAACTTCTGACATGTCTTTCCACATGCCACATACTAACAGCACATCAAATTTCACAACAATATATGCAAAAACAGATGACTTATCTGCAAAAATGACAAATTCAATATGGTGGTCATGCAAAAATCATTTCAGAATTTTACAGAAGCCATTGTTGGAATCATGTATGCCAAATTTCTTCATCGTAGGCCTTGTGGTTTCAGAAGGAGTGATTGAGTATGGTTTTACGCCGCTTTTAGCAATATTCCAGCAATATCACGGCGGGGGACACCAGAAATGGGCTTCACACATTGTTCCCAGGTTGGGAATCGAACCCGAGTCTTAGGCGTGACAAGCAAACTTTAAACACTAGGCTACCTGACCGCCTTGTGGTTTCAGAAGGAGGGGTTTCAAAATGTAGAGGTTTAAAAGCGGTAAGACAAAGCGCCATGACATAAGCTTGCTTGAGCCATCGGTTTAAAAGGTTTACTAAAAACTGCCGGAAAATCAGAAATACATCTGCAAGCTATTTCATAACCATTAGTTGCTTGAGCAGCACAATACAGAATTCAGAGTGAATGAGTGAGAAAAAAGCTGCCACCAGCTTCCGAAAGGCAGCCTGTATATTACATAGCTAGGGCTGAGTTTGGTTGTGGGAGCAATGATTGTAATATTTCAATCATCTCTATTATGACAGGGAAAGTGCACTGGGCGTATATTAACAAATTACAGCCTGTCATCATTTTCTATTTTCATTTTTAGAAGGAAAAATCATTGTTGAGGAATCACTTATATGTGCCAGTATTCCCTGTGTTAAACATACTTAATCTGAGGGCAAGTAGAACTTCCAGCTGTGACGAGATTGTTGAAATGGAAGTTTACAGATTAATTACTAAAAACAATAAACACAATCTGAAATTTCGGATTGAAATGTCACTGTTGTTCTTTTTTTTCGGCAATTGTACATTAACTTCACATATTGGGTATTTTCAAAATGTACAAATGATATGTTGTACATCAGGCATTGTAACTGTTACAACAATTTGGACCTTCACAATACAACAACAAACAGGTAACAATCAAATAGCCTTCATTCATGAAAAACATCCAAACCCAATACCTTGCACCATTATGCTCAGCTATCGGAAAAAGCTAATATCAATGTACAGCCCATCAGATCTATGTTCGTATTGGTTGGAACACAAGGTCAAGGTCAAGGTCGATCATATAACTTGGGGTGAGTCAGGATGATAACTGACACTTAAAATTTGCATAATGTTTGATGCACGGGTCAGAAGTCTGAGCATGGTGATAAATGTACTGTATCTACTGGTATACACAGATGTGTTGAAGGTGCACAGCGACGCAGTGGGTGTCATGGATGATCCCAAAGGGTAGTCTGCTTAGTGCACATGTCCAAGATGCAGAGGTTGCACCTAAATTCATGATTACACAGTCAACAGTGCAGCTGTAATCCTACAACATTCTGACCAGGCCACACATCCTGTTCATTGAGGTCACAATGGAGGTCTCATCATTTTCTGTTTGTACCAGTAGGGTTTGAAAATATTCTGAAAATAACCAATCGAGAAGGACAAACTGTGTCTATTTCTATACCATATGTTGTAAATGTTCTAATATACTTCTCAACATTTGCTAAGGACCACACCTTTGACTAAAGATGACTATTTTTGTCCTTAAGAAATGTTGTGTATTACACAATGCAGGTCAGTGACCCCGCGTTATGGTGGGGACGCCCAGATGTACCACATCAGTCGACACTGAGGCATTGTGTTTCCATGAGGTATACAGTAAGCCATGAGCTTCAGCACTGAGGTGGGGGTATCTTGACATAAGCATAACATGTGGCAAGTAGGTCATAATGACCTGACATATGTCATCTTGACATGTCGTCTTGACCTCCAGAGTCATATTGACATCACACAACCATCTATGTATCACAAACGCTGAACTATATACTTTCAGATGAGCAATATTGCAAATATTCCCCTTTTCTCGATGTACATCATGCTTGTCTACCTTTTTGGTAGTTTGTGGAGAAATACTTGAATCTTGACTGTTTAGTTTTCCCATATCACACTGTTCATATGGGAGCTGAATCATTCAAAGCTGTGGTCATCTTGATTTGATTGGTCAGGTTTTACACCAATCAGAGAGAACTGTGGCAATTTCATCTCTGACTTGGGCTCACAATCTGATTCTTATACTGGTCATCAAAATCACTGATAACTTTTAAGGATCATCCTCGAAACAGGGATATATGTCTACTATTCACTTCACCCCCAGCCCTGGGATAAGACCATGGATAACTCTCACTGCAAATTATGTGACTTCTAAAAATGTTGGCCTTGTAAAATGATTCAATCTAACTGATAGGGAAAGTAAGAAACCAAGGGAGCCAAATCCTCATTCCAATACAACAAATTATCACAATCATATGGGACATTTCTTCTTTGAAGCAAAACCTTTTGATTAAGTGAAGAAAATCGGACTTGGACAGTAGAGTTTAAGATGTATGCTAAATTTAACGCCATAACTGAGCAGTGGGGCTTGCAGTCAAACCATTTGCATCCACTCCTGCTATAGGATGCAAGATATTGTGCCCAGCTTGACCCTGGTCTTGTCCCAGCAGCAAGGATGCTGACAGTCGTTACTTGAGGATGTTTCGACATATACATTGTCATACTTCCATGTTACAGTTGTGACCAGATTCTTTCAATCCTGTTGATTGCATGGCAGTCTGAAAACTCTTTTCAAATAATTTGATTTGCTTTTTACAAAAATATCATCTTATTGTTGACATTGAATAAATAATTACAAATTACTTTTAAATGTAGCAGTTAGTCTGTACAGTTACCTTCACTGCTGACTTTCCAAATTACTCTCACACTGAAAGATAAAAGAAACTAAGCACTTCGATCTTCCAAATTTCTTGTCCATTATATCACAAATTGTTGACAGCCACCATCTTGGCCTTCAGTCATGCATCTGGGCCAGTTTGACCATGAGAAAGTTAATGAGACCAGCTTGTTTGGAGCGGATTTTGGTGACAGTTTTGGGTGAGATTCGACCAGTCTTTCCTTCCGGCCTTGTGACGTGAATCTCCAGCAGAGAATACTCCTGGACATGCTGCCACTCAATCTCAGAGTACTTGTATGACTGAAGCATTGACTGGGGAGAAAGACAGAGCACACTTAATGAACTGATCAATCCAAGCACAGAACCAATAGTGCCATAACACTGCAGCTCACCTGTCTATGTTCATGTTTAAAACAATGTGTCATATAACTTGGAGTGAGTGAGTTGGGTTTAACGCCGCTTTTAACATTATTCCAGTTATATCACGGCGTGTAAGCTTAATGTGGGAGGAAACCCTGAAGTGATGCTGGTCTCAGACGTTTACCACTTCGGTGAAACCCACGAGCACGGGTATGGTGCTGACAAACCTAGAAACATAATCGGGGCGAACCCACAATCATAGGTTTCTGGCGTGCCCAAGGGACGCAACTCTGCACAGCGAATCGCGGCGCCTTAGACGACTGGGCCACCCGTGCCCCCCATATAACTTGGAACCATTACAACGATGAGCTACACATCAACAAGATTCCTCATCCAGACTGTATTTCCAGCCAACCATTTTCTTTCATAATATGCCTCGTAGAACAAATATTATATATTTGAATATGTACAGCAAAGATTTTGAAGTTATCATACACAATGCAAATCTTAACAAAGCCTGGCTCAAACACCACATGCTATACAACTTTAAATGTCCTCTATGGGAAAGGTGAGTTTTGGGTTAAGCAACGCCAACAATTAACAAATTTACCCCCACACCTGCCTTACATATTTTTTTCATATGCTTGTTCGTTGTTTAACACCACACTCAGCAATATTCCAGCTATATGAGGAAGGAAATGGTCTGTAAATAATAGAGTCTGGACCAGACAATCCAGTGCGGCGTTAAACAACAAACAAACAAACTATATCAAAAGATTTGTTAAATTTGTAAAGAAAAAGTATAAAGTAAAAAGGAAGTAAAGAGGCATAAGTAACTGTTGAAAACTAATTAATCTTTTTAACTGTAGTCCTCACCTTGTTCTGCATGCTGATGATATGTATTCCGACATCGTTCACTCCTATGTGACATTTTGTTGGCGAACCCTGGGAAAAAAGAAAGAAATGAGACTAAATACACGGAAATGATTCCCCCAGCAACTGTAAAAGTACCCTCAACAACAGAACCCTTTTCTGTTTTACCACAAAGGTCGAATAAGTATTAAACAAGAAAACAGTGTTATCACTATCCCAAGCCAAGGGACACATTAGAACTTTGTTTGGTCACATCCCATCTATTTTTTATCTCAGCCTTGACAAGTTTCTCTATTAAGCACGTAAAGTTTTATGTAGTTTCTCAGGAAATTTGTCTTCATTGAAGACAGGATGCACAAAATCTAGAAACACGTAGCAAGAGACTTCGTGGCATGGGATAAAATTAGTGCCGCGGCTCTGTAGCTCACCTGGATATGTAGTTTAAAATGTCAACACTGGCAAACACTTCAGAAAAGTTGCTGCCAGTATTATTATTCAAATATGTTCTGCATAAATCCTGAGCAAAAACATATTTTTTCAAATCATTTCGAAAAAATAAGTGATCATAAGGATTAACATACAAGCCAAAATTCAGCTCCCCCAGTCCGGCAGTTCCAGAAGAGGACAAGTTTACAAAGCCACTTGCGCATTTTGAGAGAATTTGGAAACATGGTCAAAGTACGAAGGTCAAATAAAGGCCCAAAATTAAAACTTGTGAAGAACAGAACCCGAGGACCGATTATTTTCTCAGTAATATCATAATTACTTTTAGTTTACTGTGAAAACTTGAGAAGAAAATTATAAAGTTCATCAGCTCAAAAAGTTATGTCATATTAACCTAAACAGCTAAAATTGTCAACAAATGAAAAAAATCTTGCAATTTGATTAGCATCAATTGATACTATTCACGGCTTCACCAGTCCACCCCAAGCAGGGGTTGGTTTTGTATTGTTCTAATATGAACACTTTAATGTTTCGCCCATTCCTGTCTCAACAGCCATATGAATATACACTGAATGTCGTTAAGTCTGAGGTGAATGCTGTCTTACCCTAATGCCTTGGGGGTTTGGTAAAGTCCCAGTGAAGAAAGCAGAGCCGTAGACAGTGAGGTAGTGACAGTGTGTTAAAAACTGACGTTTCAATGCCTGCAAAGAACATAAAGAATCAAATTAAAAAGTTGATGCAGCTATCAAACTGTGCATCTTTATCAGATGAGATGAGTGATGATTGTGTGTGACGTATGAGGAAATATGTCCTACCCCTGGGTAGTCTCATGTCACTGGTCTCTGTGACTTACCAGAGGAGACATGGATCGTCTCATGGCACTCGTGTGTGTGACTTACCAGAGGAGACATGGATGATCTCATGGCAGTCTTCTCTGTGACTTACAAGAGGAGACATGGATCGTCTCATGGCACTCGTCTCTGTGACTTACCAGAGGAGACATGGATCGTCTCATGGCACTCGTGTGTGTGACTTACCAGAGGAGACATGGATGATCTCATGGCACTCGTGTGTGTGACTTACCAGAGGAGTCCTGTCCTTGCCCTGAATGATCTCCCGGCACTCTCTGAGGATCTTGTTGGCCCAGTGTGTGGCTCCCCTCTGCACCAGGATAGGCTGAGGCACGAGTTCCTGCTGCTTCTCTCTGCTGCAATGAGAACCAGTCACAGGTCACTGGACGATCCAGAGGTAGGGGGCATGGAGTGTACACCCCTCCTTTTTTCAGACACCATACACGTTAACTCCACCCTCGACCAAGTCACTTTTTTTATTTGGGTGTTATGGGCACACACCCTTTTTCAAAATCCTGGATCTGCTTCTGCAGGTTGAATACCTAGCACATGACACAGAGAACATCTTGATGTCAGGGCTACAACCATACACTGTTGTATTTTCAGGTTGTGTACCAATAACAAACCACATATGAAAAAATAAGTGAATGACCATGGTGATGCTGGGATGTGTTCGGGCAAAATGTTTTTAGAAGCTGGAAACTTTGTTCAAACACTTTTCCACATAAGGATCGAAAGAAGAAGGAACAAATGCAAAGTGTGAGATAGGATAAGTTTATAATTATGGAATAAATGCTTGTCCTTCCCTGGGATCCCAACAGGGACTGAACCGTGGCAGTGAGATAATCACAATGACTTACTTTGACAGGAAAGACTTCGCTGAACTGGAGTCCAAGTTGCCATGCCAGAGAAGAAACAAGATGGCGGCAAATATAACTGCATCCTGCTCCTTGCATGGGTAGAGGGCGTTGATGTAGTTGTAGTATGCCTCGTGGAAGAGCAGGTCGATGGCCTTCTGATGTGTCAGCTGTACAGAAGATAATTATCTGACAATCATATCCCACTTTTGTGGCCATGGTTTCTTTTGTTTCAGCCATAAGTTTTTAGTCAAATACCACTCTCACTTAAAGTGTAGATGCATAATACCATGCCATCACTGTATTAGTTGGCTCTTAGGGACCAATCATTTAATATTTTGGGGGGCCAAGGATTTTGGTTATAGAAAGAATATTTTGTCAGAGAAATGAATTATCAATGAATAGAGGCGGCATGCAATAATTTTTTCTCAACACAATTTTTTCAGGTCATCTAGCATGTCCCACAAAAACTTAATTGTGGTAATACCTGAAGGACAATTATTTTGTCAAGTATTTTCTGCTTGGAAATTTTCTTTACCGAAACATCGCCATTACAATAAATAAAGAAGTTGTTGTCCATAAATTGTGTCTACTTTGTCATCCGTCAACTTCTAAAACATGCCTATCAAACCAGTATTTTCTGGAACAAACTATCCGTAATTATTTGTTTCCCCAAAATATCTGGCTCCAAAACATCCAATGGTTGGACCCTTCACACGAGGCACTGGAAACTTTGTACTCATCTCCCGCTAGTTCCCGCTATGTTTTTGTACAAACAAGTATAAAGTGTCAATTGCAGTACTCATCATATAAAATAACACTCTCTCATTCATGTCCAGACAGAAACGTCAAAGACTAAACATGCTAAATCAAGTCTTCCAATACTAATTTCTTGTTGAACATTTGCTTGTTGATCAAGTTAATTCTGGACCAATGGAAACACTGGTGTGTGTAATTGAGGAAATGGTTCACAATCGTCTGACTAATAAATAACTAAGCATTTCAGAGATGTACAAGGAAATCCATCCCACTACTTTTGTTGGATACCGATGTACCCATTAAGGTGTGTGAGTGAGTGAGTGAGTTGGGTTTAACGCCGCTTTTAACATTATTCTAGTTATATCACGGCGTGTCAGCTTAATGTGGGAGGAAAGCCCGAAGTGATGCAGGTCTCAGACGTTTACCACTTCGGTGAAACCCACGAGCACGGGTATGGTGCTGACAAACCGAGAAACATAATCAGGGCGAACCGGGATTCGAACCCACAATCATAGGTTTCTGGCGTGTCCAAGGGACGCAACTCTGCACAGCGAATCGCGGCGCCTTAGACGACTTGGCCACCCGTGCCCCCCATTAAGGTGTGAAAACCATGTTGTCAAGTAAGATCCATGTTGTCAGTTGTTTGTCTGCTATTGTAGAATAAAGCAGGCATGTGGTATGTTAGAAGTGAATATACCTGTTTTTCAATCTCCACACCAATTTTGGCATTTCTTCTCCACTTCAGGACCGGCTCCTCATGGTCGGGGTTAGCGTCCGACAACATCCCCACAGTGCGCGTCTGCCATATTCGCAACTGGTTCATCGGCTCATGCTCCGGTTTCAGCTGCAGCTCTGCATGACAAAGAGGGAGGGGTGAGTGATTGAGTGAATGTTGTTTTATTCTGCAGTTGTTATAAGTACAAACCAGTGGATGAGAGAATGAGCTCCAAATGAGAACGCTTTAACCACTAGGCTACCAGTCCGCCCCTGCATATTTGTTGTCAAGCGATGCAGTCTGCTTTACATCAGCCTTAGCACAGTGGCCTGGTAATGATCATGTCTGGACCTAAGAAAACAGTGATTGATATTACGAACAACATTCCAAGCTGTCTGCTTACAATGACAAGCAATCGATCACGTCACTGAGGTTACATAGGACCTATTCTAACTGAGAATCACCATTAGAGCTCAGTTGTGGGCTCCCATGACAAGCAATCAACCAAGTCCAGAGACGAGTTCAAATTTTCTGCCTGGGTACCCACTCCTCCTATTACACGGCCCTACCTGGTACCCGCTATAGGTTTCAAGAGTTGGGTACAAAATGTCTGAATGGGAATAGTTTAACTGCAGCCCTGGCAAAATATCTAGATACACGTATATAACGATCTGATCATAAATACACTGTAGTTGATACACGCTTTATCCTTACTCAAACGACCCATGTGGGTACCTGGGTCCAAATCAGGACCCACCTGACCTGAGTACCTGAGGTTACCTGTCCCAGCCCTACTGACTCAATCCATTCAATAGCTGTTATGACAATCTTAGGATATTTGGGACGACAGGAGATCCTAAAAAAGGGCTTAGGATACTTGGGACGACAGGAGATCCTAAAAAAGGGCTTAGGATACTTGGGATGACAGGAGATCCTAAAATAGGGCTTAGGATACTTGGGACGACAGGAGATCCTAAAATAGGGCTTAGGATACTTGGGATGACAGAAGATCCTAAAAAAGGGCTTAGGATACTTGGGACGACAGGAGATCCTAAAAAAGGGCTTAGGATACTTGGGACGACAGGAGATCCTAAGATAGGGCTTAGGATACTTGGGACGACAGGAGATCCTAAAAGAGGGCTTTGGATACTTGGGACGACAGGAGCACCCAAAATAGGGCCTAAGATACTTGGGACGACAGGAGATCCTAGAATAGGGCTTAGGATACTTGGGACGACAGGAGATCCTAAAATAGGGCTTAGGATACTTGGGACGAGAGGAGATCCTAAAATAGGGCTCTCATGACAGTCATAGGGTGATGGGAACCTCTGTTGCCATGGAATCCTCACAGGAGAAATGACAAGGCATTTGAGTACATGTGGTTTATTTGCCAGGGTTTGCTGTTACACTAAAGGGGTCTTTGTAATCTACAGTACTACAGACATACACTGAAATATACCCTAGCTAAAATCAGAATTCACAAATGTACCCTGACAACATGCACAACATCAGCTCTACACACAGCTTCACTTGACTTCTGTGAGTCAGGTCCTCATTTAAAAAGCTGACAGAAAATAGAGATGCCTCACCACTACACTTCTAAAGGTTTATGTATTCAGGGCTGAAGGAGGAACACAGTGCCTACAGCATGGAAGTGAGCGAGTGAGTATGGTTTAACACCGTGTTTTAGAAATATTCCAGCAATATCACGACAGAGGACACCAGAAATGGGCTTCACACATTGTACCCATGTCGGGAATCGAACCCGGGTCTTCGGCGTGACAAGCGAACACTTTAACCACTAGGATGCCCGACCATCCCGCCTACAGCATGTGAAGTAATGACAGTTAGATAAAACAATGTTTCCGATTATTGTTGAATATGGTTTTAAAGTTGCTGTAAGCACTTCCAGCAATATCATGGCAGGGGACTCCAGAAATGGGCTTCACACATTTTACTCACACAGGGCATTGAACATGGGCCTTCAGCATTATGAGCAAACACTTTAACCACTTGGCTACCCTAACATCCATTTCAGATATAATACAAAGACATCATAAAGAAATAACAGTATCATACAGGAAACTATATACGGTTTCATTTACAACTTACCGAGACTGTTAGAGCAGATCCATATTGTGAAGATCTGAGCATATGGAACAGGCGGCATCCCAAACTCCTGAAACACACAGTACAACCCATGAATGTCGGCAGGTGCTTGCTGTCTACAGCCTTCATACTGTTTCAACAGAACAACTTTGGAATTTCATGCTAAAACACTGAGAAAGCTTTAAGAGAATAGTTTATATGAACATGATTACTCAACACTTTATTATCATACCAACAGCCAACTTTGTTTTGTGTAAGCACTGATGTCTTACACTGAGAACCTGTTCACTGATATCTGACATTGAGAACCTGTTCACTGATATCTTACATTGAGAACCTGTTCACTTATATCTTACACTGAGAACCTGTTCTCTGATATCTTACATTGACAATCTGTTCACTGATATCTTACATTGAGAACCTGTTCACTGATATTTGACATTGAGAACCTGTTCACTGATATCTTACATTGAGAACCTGTTCACTGATATCTTACACTGAGAACCTGTTCACTGATATCTGACATTGAGAACCTGTTTACAGATATTTGACATTGAGATTCTGTTCACTGATATCTTACATTGAGAACCGGTTCACTGATAGCTGACATTGAGAATCTGTTCACTTATATCTTACACTGAGAACCTGTTCACTGATATCTTACACTGAGAACCAGTTCACTGATATCTGACACTGAGAACCTGTTCACTGATATCTTACACAGAGAACCTGTTCACTGATCTTACATTCAGAACCTGTTCACTTATATCTTACACTGAGAACCTGTTCACTGATATCTTACATTGACAATCTGTTCACTGATATCTTACATTGAGAACCTGTTCACTGATATCTGACATTGAGAACCTGTTCACTAATATCTTACACTGAGAACCTGTTCACTGATATCTGACATTGAGAACCTGTTCACAGATATTTGACATTGAGATTCTGTTCACTGATACCTTACATTGAGAACCGGTTCACTGATAGCTGACACTGAGAATCTGTTCACTGATATCTGACATTGAGAACCTGTTCACTGATATCTGACATTGAGAATCTGTTTACAGATATCTGACACTGAGAACCAGTTCACTGATATCTTACATTGAGAACCTGTTCACTGATATCTGACATTGAGAACCTGTTCACTGATATCTGACATTGACAACCGGTTCACTTATATCTTACATTGAGAACCTGTTCACTGATATCTTACACAGAGAACCTGTTCACTGATATCTTACACTGAGAACCTGTTCACTGATATCTGACATTGAGAACCTGTTTACAGATATTTGACATTGAGATTCTGTTCACTGATATCTTACATTGAGAACCGGTTCACTGATAGCTGACATTGAGAATCTGTTCACTTATATCTTACACTGAGAACCTGTTCACTGATATCTTACACTGAGAACCAGTTCACTGATATCTGACACTGAGAACCTGTTCACTGATATCTTACACAGAGAACCTGTTCACTGATCTTACATTCAGAACCTGTTCACTTATATCTTACACTGAGAACCTGTTCACTGATATCTTACATTGACAATCTGTTCACAGATATCTTACATTGAGAACCTGTTCACTGATATCTGACATTGAGAACCTGTTCACTAATATCTTACACTGAGAACCTGTTCACTGATATCTGACATTGAGAACCTGTTCACAGATATTTGACATTGAGATTCTGTTCACTGATATCTGACATTGAGAACCGGTTCACTGATAGCTGACACTGAGAATCTGTTCACTGATATCTGACATTGAGAACCTGTTCACTGATATCTGACATTGAGAACCTGTTTACAGATATCTGACACTGAGAACCAGTTCACTGATATCTTACATTGAGAACCTGTTCACTGATATCTGACATTGAGAACCTGTTCACTAATATCTTACACTGAGAACCTGTTCACTGATACCTGACATTGAGAACCTGTTTACAGATATTTGACATTGAGATTCTGTTCACTGATATCTTACATTGAGAACCGGTTCACTTATATCTTACATTGAGAACCTGTTCACTGATATCTTACACAGAGAACCTGTTCACTGATATCTTACACTGAGAACCAGTTCACTGATATCTGACATTGAGAACCTGTTCACTGATATCTGACATTGAGAACCTGTTCACTGATCCTACATTGAGAACCTGTTCACTTATATCTTACACTGAGAACCTGTTCACTGATATCTTACATTGACAATCTGTTCACTGATATCTTACATTGAGAACCTGTTCACTGATATCTGACATTGAGAACCTGTTCACTGATATCTGACATTGAGAACCTGTTCACTGATATCTGACATTGAGAACCAGTTCACTTATATCTTACATTGAGAACCTGTTCACTGATATCTTACACAGAGAACCTGTTCACTTATATCTGACATTGAGAACCTGTTCACTGATATCTGACATTGAGAATCTGTTCACTGATATCTGACATTGAGGACCTGTTCAAAGATGACATCTAATAATGACTGTGTACTAACCTTTAGCATCTGTTCATTGAGCTGTCTGACAGATGTATGGTATCCAGAGGTCAGTCTGAGGTTGATGATGTTTGCATCCATTGTGTTGACAGCGATTGTGGGACTCTACAACATAAACACAACTCTTACAACTCTTACACCCCAAGACAGTCAATACAACAGTCACATGCACATCCTCCAGTGTTAGACACTGCTTGGTATCCAACCACAGGGTAAATACTGTAAGTGTACACAACTTCACCATGACAAATTGGAAGCAGGCACTGGGCAGGTACAGAGTGCTGTGTTCAAAAGTGAAAGCAGGCCATGGGCAGATAAAACAGTTTTCGAAGTGTCTGGTTGGAAATGTAAATACTCCTATGCAGGAAAAATCCCAGGGTCATCAGCTTGCATGCTTTTCCCTTATCCCACACACATTTCCAACCCAGCCCCAAGCCCCTGTTTTTTCCATCACAACAGCTCCTATAACATTTCCAACCTAGCCCCTGCTTTATCTATCACAACAGCTCCTATAACATTTCCAACCTAGCACCTAGCCCCTGCTTTATCTATCACAACAGCTCCTCGAACATTTCCAACCTAGCCCCTGTTTAATCCATCACAACAGCTCCTCGAACATTTCCAACCTAGCCCCTGTTTAATCCATCACAACAGCTCCTCGAACATTTCCAACCTAGCCCCTGTTTTATCCATCACAACAGCTCCTACAACATTTCCAACCTAGCCCCTGTTTAATCCATCACAACAGCTCCTCGAACATTTCCAACCCAGCCCCTGTTTTATCCATCACAACAGCTTCTCGAACATTTCCAACCTAGCCCCTGTTTTATCCATCACAACAGCTTCTCAAACATTTCCAACCTAGCCCCTGTTTTATCCATCACAACAGCTCCTCAGACATTTCCAACCTAGCCCCTGTTTTATCCATCACAACAAGCCCAGAGTGGTGAGGAAGGAGACACAGCTTACCGGCCGTGTGCCTGACTGTTTGATGAAGTTGGCCACCTGCTCGTGTTTCCAGGTGTGGTCCGGACCCGATTGGCAAATGTCCAGCGCTGTCTTGCCATTCTTGTCACGTGCAGCCTGTGTTGGGAGGTGGTAGAAAGTGTGACAGTGAGTTCAGCTTGATGCCAGTTTGTACAGCATGTCAGTTCATTTTGGTAGGAAAGCATAAGTGATGCAGGTATAAAACATTTAACACATTGGGGAAACCCATATTCTACCTATATTCCATCAATATTCCATTGATATTTCATCTATATTTCATCTATATTCCATCTATATTCCATCTACATTCAATCTATATTTCATCTATATTCCATCTATATTCCATCTACATTTCATCTATATTCCATTTATCTTTCATCTATATTTCATCTATTTTTCTCTATATCCCATCTATATTCCATCTATATTCCACCTATATTCCATCAATATTCGATCTATATTCTATTTATATCCCATCTATAGTCTATTTATAACCTATCTACATCCCATCTATATTCTATTGATATCCCATCTATATCCCACTCATATTCCATCTATATTCTATTGATATCCCATCTATACTCTATTTATAACCTATCTACATCCCATCTATATTCTATTGATATCCCATCTATATCCCACTCATATTCCATCTTTATTCTATTGATATCCCATCTATATCCCATGCATATTTCATCTATGCTCCATCTTTATCCCATCTATATTCTATTTATATCCATCTATACTCTATTTATAACCTACCTATATCCCATCTATATTCCATCTATAATCTATTGACATCCCATCTATATCCCATGCATATTCCATCTATATTCTATTTATATCCCATCTATACTCTATTTATAACCTATCTATATCCCATCTTTATTCTATTGATATCCCATCTATATGCCATCTATGCTCCATCTTTATCCGATCTATGTGTGTACATTGCCCCTCAGGCACTTAAAGGGGACAAGGCTTGGTCCAAATTGGCAGTCCCAGCATGTTTATGTCTGCTAACTCAAATATTGTCATAAATATGCATCACACAGCACAAATTACAATGTCTATCTCAGAGTGCACCACTCTCCATTCCAACCCTTACCACATCAACTCTGTGCACCAGCAAGGTCTCTGCAACAAGCGAGTGACCTTTCCGCGCTGCTAGGTGGAGAGGTGTACTGTCCTCACGGTCGGCAATGTTTGGGGAGCAGCCAGCATCTAGGAGGGCCGTCACCACATTAGAGTAACCATACCTGTCAACATGCAGTTGAATGCTCAATAACCAGCAGCCCTGTTTGAAATGTACATTATACTCCTATGAAAATCACCATAGACTATGAAAATCAAGTACCTAATACCCCTGCCTTAACTCGTGCACCACACAGCTCTGTCCTGTTTACAGCCGGTGCCTGTCAAAGTCAATTAGACATCAGGGCCCCGTTCCACAAAGAAATCTTAGGGCTAAGTTGATTGTAACTCACTAAGTATACGATTTTAAATTTTTGTTACGATCAGCCGCCCGTTCCACTAAGAGAGTTGTAAGTTAAGATCAAAATGCTAAGTTGCTCCGGGCCAACTTAGGATTGCTAAAATCGATCTTAAATATTGTACCATAACAACAAAGATGGCGACTTTTATTATGGTGTGCAAGGAAATGCGTCGTCTGCTAAACATGACCAAGGGAGGTCACTCTAAGCGAAACTTTCGTATCTTCATGGCTGAAGATTCCGATCTTTATTAAGATCGGCTACTTAAGAACTTGTTAAGTTACAATCGCCCTAAGATTGCTTTGTGGAACGGTTGTAAACTTTAGCTTAGACAATTTTAGAATCAACATAAGTCTCTAAGATTGATTGTAGTTACGATCGCTTTGTGGAACGGGGTCAATTTCGACCAGGTTTGTGATGGGAACTGAGTTCCTCCTATACTGGCTAGACACAACGCTTGTTTACAGTTGTATGATGCAGACTTGAGTCACACTTGGGTGGGGAACACTGAAAGGTCTGCTGACAACACATTACTGACCTGCTGACAGTTTTACTACAAGACAAGACCGTTCTAGATGGACACTTTCTGCAACTTGACCTTGAGTAAGTACAGATCAAAGGCATCAGAACACCTGGATATGCTCAGTAAAGATCGCTAAAGTGCATATGATAGAGGTTCAATTTTGAGATCATATAATCATGTCATTAGTATTGTTAAAAAGTTTGGCATTTCCCAGTGGGAATAACAAGTCAAATAATTGATGCATCTTGAGAGACATATGTTTCAAATTTACAAGGGTGTCCATTGAACTGTATTCAGAGTATTAAACTGAGATAGGTATTTGTAGCAAATGTTATTATTTAATCTAATTGTCCAAATCAGAAAAGAAAGGGGTTAGTGTGCATTTTATTGCGAGACAGAATTGTTAACTACTGCTCCAAATTCCCACTTTACTACTGAGGAATATTGGAAAATCATTCACTGTGTTAAAAGTATCGCATAAAAATATAATTAGTTGTACATAACTTCTTAAAATATTTTGACCACATATGGATAAAACATTTATCTATGTTAGTGTTGCAATTGTTTTAAAACAACTATACTTCTCTGTCACCATGGTAACAGAAGAAGGACCCTGCTACACGAGGATGAGTGAAGCGAGAGAGGTTGAGGAAGCAGTTACCATGCTGCATAGTGTATAGGTGCCCACGATATGGAATCTTTCTTGGAATGCAGCTGGCCTTGACTCAGCAGTGTCTTGACCCCATCAAGGTCACCTTCGGCAGCACAGCTGTGGACGGGGTACTTTTCCCTCCACTTCAGGGCTCTGTAATACCATGCAGTGTACAGAGTGTTTAGCTTGCTGGGTCAGAGCAATCAGCAAATCTACAGAACTTGCAATGAGATGAGTGAGTGAGTGAGTGAGTGAGTATGGTTTCACGCCGCTTTAAGCAATATTCCAGCAATATCACAGCGGTGGACACCAGAAATGGGCTTCACACATTGTACCCATATTGGGAATCGAACCCAGGTCTTCGGCGTGGCGAGCGAATGATTTAACCACTAGGCTACTCGGCCACCCCTGTAGTGAGATGAAATTAGGTAGTTTGTGGTGAGATTAGTAAGCCATCTGATTTGCAGATAATAAAATGTTTTGTAAATGACACTAATAGACATGATGCATACACGGCATGGCATTGTTGAACATTATCATGTGATATACAATCAGTGGATCATTCCAGTCTTGGTTGGTTGGTTTGTTGTCAGCAATATTTCAGCTATATGACGGCAGGATTTCAGTCTTGGCATCCTGCCAATATCATGGTCCCTACAGTATCAGGAAGCCAGGTGGGCTAGGGGTTGATAGTGAGAGCAAGAGTGTCTGTAACCATGGTAACACCCTGTCAGGCATACAAAGCATCGGTATTGTTAGTCAACAGTGGGAAGCAATGCCATGCAACAACTCTCCACAGACCAAAGACATTCACTGAAAATATGTACTAAAAGAAACATACATGTATGTGAATATTTGTATACAGACATATATCAACATAAGTTCATCGGGTGTTGTGTAAATACAGAATACTAAAATGAGCTCCCATTTAATACCAATTTTATGAAACGAGTGAAAAGTTCTGGTATCTGATGAGGGAAAGTGATGATAAATCAAATATTCAAATAAAAGATTTAATGACAGCATTATTATAGCAGGAATAGTTTACAAACTGGTGTTTACACATATTTATCAAACATTACATGTACCTGCAATCCATTCACAGCGTAGTATCCTAGTATCCATTGTACATGTACACGTATGGAGCGTATTGCCATGGCCTGACACGCATGAGCGTCATAGTCCAATAGAAGACTAACATAGTTTCGCAGAAATCTGCAGATATCCACAGACTATTCACAAATCATTCACAACATATCCACCAATTATCCACAGATTAATTGTACTTTTACAACAAAATACGATATCAAACTTTTGTGTTGTTGTGTACATACTCTGGTATGGGGTCTGGAACCACTATTCTTCCATAGTCAGGCTTCTGGGGCCAGAAGTTGTTCTCTATCAGTCTGTTCACCTGCAAACATACAGAGTTCTTCTGGGTAAGGGAGACAATCACTGGGATGCTGGAAACTCATCACAAACTATCTGGTGAAACAGGGTTTAACGTCGCGTCCAAGATTATTGCACTTATATAGCGACGTGCATGTACGTATGTGTGTTTGTGTGGCTGCTTGTACTAGTCCGGACTGATGCCGATTTATAGTGCTAGCTCACCGAGATACCATGCCGCAGTTTAACATGAATATCCCACTCAGACACAGTATACTGACTCCGAGCCGACCAGTTCTTGTTTTAGCCCCTTAATGCCGAGCGCCAGACAGGGTAACAACAAGTACCATCTTTTGACGTCTTTTGGTATGACGCGGTCGGGGATCGAACCCCGGACCTTCTGCTCTCTGGGCGGACGCTCTACCACTAGACCACGGAGGCGGTAGACAGACTATCTACATCTGAATCAAAATTATACCATTTTCTGCAGAAGCTTGGTTTGTTCCTTTCTCCTTATTGCAAACATTCATGTTATGTTTAAGGTATAATGACATGGTCCTACATTAGATGCTGCTCATAATATCGATCACTGGATTGTCTTGTCCAAACTTGATTATTTACAGGCCACCAACATATTGCAGGAATATTGCAGCAATGCACAAACAAACAAAATGGTTGACAAACTGACTGTCTTATCACCCTGTTGGCCTTATCACCTATGCTGGTCATAAGAGGCGACTAAATGGATCGGGTGTGCTGGTCTCTTTGACTTGGTTGATTGCGTGTCATCGTACAACTCATGTCATGCCCTTTGCCTTGACAACACTGAAAACACTTCCAGAATTTATCTGAAACTTTCAAATGGAGGAACTCTCATTGCGAATCATAGAAAACATTGGCCAGTTCAACCTAAATAGAAGAATATATTTTGGTCACAAACCTTTGTCTTATACTGTAGGCCGGACCCAAACAAGGGGTTGATAACAACAATATCACACTTCTCTATGGACAACATTTTGGCTCGGGCTTCATTGGCTGTGAGTTGTATCTCCGCGGGGAGGTCACCCAAGTTCTGAGTTCCGCTGTCCTCGGGGGAGATCCTGCTGGATAGGAAGACGGGGTTGTGTACCGTCAGACGCATCCTGTACTCCGCCCGAGACCGGAACAACGCCTCCACGGAACCAGACCGCATGTGCTTCTCTCGGAGCCAGCTGCAGACAGGAACATGTGTCACACTTCAAATCATTGCCCATTTTAAGAGTGAGTGAGTATGGTTTAATCCTGTTTTGAATAGTGTGTATTATACTTGTCAACCTCATGTGGGAAGGAGTGACTGAGTATGGTTTTATCACACTTTTAGCAATATTCCAGCTGTATCAAGGCGGGGATGGAGGGGGCACAAGAAATGGTCTATGTAGGGAATCAAACCCAGGCCTTCAGTGTGACATGTAAATGCCTTAACCACAAGGCTACCCGACCGACCTGTGGGAGTGAGTGAGTGAGTGAGGTTTTACGCCGCTTTTAGCAATATTCCAGCAATATCACGGTGGGGGACACCAGAAATGGGCTTCACACATTGTACCAATGTCGGGAATCTAACCCGGGTCTTCGGCGTGATGAGCTAACGCTTTAACCACTAGGCTACCCGACCGCCACACGACCCGTGGGAAGGAGCTTGAAGTGTAGAATAACATTTACCATGTGAGAAGGTGTGTGTCTCTGTGTTGGTATGCAAGATTTATGGCCTTCTCATAGAGTATTCGGGTGGTGGTGTAGCCTAGTGGTTAGAGCGTTTGCTCATAATGCCAAAGTGAGTGAGTGAGTATGGTTTTACGCCGCTTTTAGCAATATTCCAGCAATATCACGGCGGGGGACACCAGAAATGGGCTTCACACATTGTACCCATGTCGGGAATCGAACCCGGGTCTTCGGCGCGACGAGCGAACGCTTTAACCACTAGGCTACCCGACCGCCCCATAATGCCAAAGACCTGGGTTACTACTCCCCACAAGGGTGCAATGTGTGAAGACTATTTCTGGTTTCCAGTGCTGTGATATTGCTGGAATATTGCTAAAAGCGGCATATAACCAAACTCACTCACTCATTTATCAAGGACTCATGATGCAGAAGTGTGGTTCGTGTCATGATTATTTTCCAAAACAAATTATCTATTTATCATAACGGCATATTTTTACACAAATCACTCGAAGATGTCAAAAGTGTAAAATGTATCAGGAACTTGTTTGCTCAACATACAACAATAAGACCCAGTCAGTACGTCATTGTGTTCATGGCGTACAGAATATGAACCTTGCACAATATATGTGGTCATTGCCCGACTGGTCTGCAGACGAAGGGGCAGCAGATGAAGGGGCAGCAGATGGGATGCAATGACAAATTACAGAGTATCTGGGATATGGAGATTGAGGTGGGTGCAGGCACCATCATAATCAGAGAAACCTAAGATTCAAATTCACAATGAGCAGATCTGGGCAGATCTAAGGGACACAACTCCGCACAACAAATATTTTCACTGCACTGCCTATGAAAACCTGTTGAGTGAGTGAGTGAGTGCGCTTTTACACCGCTTTTAGCAATATTCCAGCAATATCAGTGTGGGGGACACCAGAAATGGGCTTCACACATTGTACCCATGTCTGGAATCAAACCCAGGTCTTCGGCGTGACGAGCGAACGCTTTAACCACTGGGCTACCCGACCGCCCCTCAAAAAACCTGTTGAACCACCAAGCATGACTACATTTGAAATTTAGGGTCCTGGGTTCCTTGATATTTGCTACTATGGAATTTGCCCGGTTGCCAGGCCTGATAAATAATGTAAATTATTACAAGGAATTGGATTTATTGTTCAGCCAGAGAGCAAGAATGTGTGTATCAACTATGTAGGATACATCAAACCTCCAATGCCGTCAGGTCACACTGAAATACCCTCGCGACTCCCAAGGGCTTTCCAGTCTAGTGCCCGGCCCCTCTCTCAACGAAGGGACCTCAGAGTTGTGACTATCATATTGTATGGTAAAGTATGGAGTTATGAAACACAAAGCTTTAAGGCCCTGGAATGAGTTCCCTCCCCTTAAACATTCTCCTCACTTTCCAAGGTGCTGCAGCAGTGGTAATGTTGGCGAGGGGAAGTTGACGCTGCCGTTGCTGAGCATCTCAATGACTGCCTCCATGGAGTAGAAGCCCGGAGCGTTCTGTGCCTGGTCCACATAGCGCTTACTGAGCTTCTCTGCAACATCACACCAACTCACTGTCATATTTGTTTTCAGATTTTGTTTCCAAAATCGAATTCATAAAGCTTCCTTATCAAACCTCATGGGACCTAATGGATGTAAAATATTTCCATCGAATTTACACATACTGAACTGGAGAAAGCATGAATGAACATAATTTAATAGCTGTACTAAAACCTGTGTAGGATTATAGGTTTTGAAGCCCTTGCATCTTCTATTACCAATTTCATGTCAGAATGAGAAAATGATCATTGCTTGCTTGTGCACTGCTCCCACTTTTCAAAACCAAGGACCTGCCTCTTATGCATGGTGTGAATCTCGTGAGAACTTACCTAGCTGTGAAATAGGCACACAGAACAAGGAAAATCTAGACAGGGATTCCCGGGGGCCTCTGGAACTGTCGGACTGATGTGGCGGGACCAGTATTGCCCTCTCTCCTGAAACAGATACATCAGTAGTTGAAGTCCAAGCTGTATTCCATGTTCTCAGTATCAGCTGTTACAATGTCCATTTCAGTCCCCAGTGTATTGCGTGATTCCGTGGTTGCAGAATATTTTGCAGAAATGGCCACTCAGTGCATAAATGTACCTATCTTGCAGAAAAATCACATGCTGTGCCAAACTTGAGCAGAACTTTGCATTTATATGCTGCAGAATTCATCAAATGCACTGCAGAACTTTAGCATGTGAGTCCAAACCTGGTTTTAAACATGAAAACGGACATTGATTTCGTTTTGAAGTGAAACTGACTTTTGTATAATTGCTTACCGAAAGTGCATGTCTGTATGTCTAAACTATTGATCTCTTGATTCACTTCAATAAGCTATCCTAGACAGGGATAGGGTTATCAAAAAATGCCTGCCACAAGTCAAACAGGTGCAAAAGTATGAAATTTACGAAAACTAAAGTTAAAAGTTGGCAGAATTGTGTGTAGAACAATCAAAATTTGGTTGCAGAATTTACAAAAATTGAGAATTTGTATTTTGGCCTAGGAATAAAGCGGGGACTGACTTACTTATGATTCAGTGATAATACAGCTGACTGAGGCACTCTCCACCTCCCACCTTCCCCACCCTGTGAGGCCTCCATGGTAGAGTAGGCCTTTATTGACACAACAATGAGGATTACCAACAATGAGGATTGGGTGTTTATTGACCGCAGAATTTTTATTTTGGCCAAGGTAAACTGACTGACGTATGCTTTAGTGATAATACAGCTGACTGAGGCACTCTCCACCTCCCACCTTCCCCACCCTGTGAGGCCTCCATGGTAGTGTAGGCCTTTATTGACACATGATGCAAAGGATTACCAACAATGAGGATTGGGTGTTTATTGACCGCAGAATTTTTATTTTGGCCAAGGTATACTGACTGACGTATGCTTTAGTGATAATACAGCTGACTGAGGCACACTCCACCTCCCACCTTCCCCATCCTGTGAGGCCTCCATGGTAGAGTAATATTCAGCAATATTCCAGCTGTATGACATTGGGCTGGAAATGATTGAGTCTGGACCAGACAAACCACTGGATGATATTATGAGCATCATCCCACATCACATCCTGTCCATTCAGCCAGTCACTGAGCCTGACAAGTCAATCCATTTAGTTGACTCACATGACTAGCATACGTTGCTACCTGTTTTAACCTGGAATCCCCACAGGTTTAAACTCTATTTACTACTCGACCATTAAGAGATGCCCCGTTTAATACATTTACAGCTGTATTACACATTGTGTAATACCAACACATGTGCTTATGTACTGTGGGAACAAGTTTCACAAACAAATATTGAAAACTCCCTACATCCCTGGGTTTATTCAACGACATTGCGTGTAGAGATAATAGGTCACTAAGAGGAGCTTATGCATGCTCGATTACCCACCAACCCTGTTGACATCACATGGCATTGTTTTGCCGGTAGATCTTGCATCAAAATTCCACAAATTTGTCATAGGGTATTGTGACATGATTGTAAACTTTCTGGTGAAGAGCCCCTGCCCCAAGGCGATCATTTTGCAACAACGGTTGTAAATATATGTTAAAGTATGGGAGTTACATTAACCTTAGCGCTATGATAACTTTTTAGAACGGACCCCTGATTTCTAATGGTAGACTGTTATTGCATTAAATTAATGTGTCAACTTTCCATGTGTTTGAAGTATTATTCTGTTAAACTCAATGGGATAATGCTGTGGATCAACAGATGTCTGCCTATTTACACACGACAGTGAACTTTTTACATTAAGTTACAAACAGCAAGTAATAAACACAATACTAAACTCACTCCTGTGTAACAACAAATGTATTAAACTCATGAAGAGTTCTGGTATCTGACTCACTTTCGCTCATCAGATACTCAGTCGTTTCATAAAATTGTTATAACTCAGGAGTGAGTTTAGTATTCCATATTTGTCTATCTGAGTCCCCCACCTTTTATCCCCAGCCCCATATCTCCTCCCGTCAGCGTATACAGGTGGGTCAGGACCATCTCTCTCGGCTCATCCTCGCCTAGCTTCATCGAGACCATCGGCAGGTATTTGGCGGCCTTGACCTTGTCCCCAGGAGGCGTCTTGCTGTCCAGTAAGAGGATATCGTACAGACGTGGACGGTAGTCGCCCCTGGCAACATTGGCCTTGGGGCGTATGACTGCTAAAACACCTTCCATGTTGTGTGGGTTCTGGTCGATAATCATCTATCTGGAAACATAATGATTACAATGTTTTACTTTCAGCGCTAACGTTGTTACCTACTACAGATTGGAATCGATTGACATGGTCAACAATCCAAAATAATTTACTGTTTTCAACCGACCAACTATAGTCACCTACCATCAGATACTTAGTGTTTCTGGGGAGGGGAGGTAGTCTAGTTGTTTAAGCATTTCCTCATCACAGCGAAAGCTCAGGTTTGATTCCCCACATGGGTACAATGTGAGAAGCCCATTTCTAGTGCCCCTGCCATGATATTGCTGGAATATTCCTATAAGTGACATTAAACCATACTCATTCACTCTTTCTTTCTCTTCATTCACACTTGGTGAACCCACTTCACTGTTTGTGTCACACCATTAGGACAATGAATATATCGTTATGTTAGTTATGTTAGTTATGTTAGCGTAATTAATGCCTGTCCAGTAGCCCATGGCTACTTTCTTTTGTTCTGGCTACAGAAAATATATTTAGGTACCACACTAGCTTAATTTTCTATCTAATGAGCAATAATATAAACCTTCATTAAGACAAACCTTGTGTAACTTTTCCTGACTTAAGTTATGAAACATTTTTAGTGATTGTTTGATTGGTTGTGTCCAACCAAGCATCAACTACTGCAATGACACAGTGCCTCACTCCAAGCTCCCACCTCATCTATGAAATGATATATTTGGTTGGTTTGTCAGCTGCACTCAGCAATATTCCAGCTATATGATGGCGGTCTGTAAATATTCAAGTCTGGACCAGACAATCCAGTGATTGGCATCATGCGTATTGTTACGATGGAATGCATCAACAAAGTTAGTGAGTCTGACCACCTGATCGCGTAAGTTGCAGCTCACAACATGATTGGGTTTCTTAAGACTGATTCCAACCCAGATCTTCACAGGTGTATTTCTGAAATAATGTCAATGACACGCCATCAAAATAACATGAATGTACCTGAAGATATAAAAACAGCTGTATACTGTACCTCACCTGGCTATATCATATCAGACACATTTCAACACCTTGAGAAATTGCACACATTTGTGAGCATGTATATACTGACATCATGAATTCATTGTTTAAAATTGTTGGAGAAACGTGCTTACGTTCCACACACAGCTGCTGTGTAGGTCATATTGTAAATCAGATTAGTGCTAAATGTACAAACGTAGGTGGCAACTTTGGATGGAGGGAACTTGCAAGTCATGTTACATCCTCGATTATCCAGTGTATCAACCCTTCATTCTTTCTTATATAAACACCCTAGCCCCATTCACCACCAAAGCTCCACACAGAAGGGACATCACCATCTCAATCTTCACAATCTCTTAATCTTTATTATACAATCAAAAACGTAACCAAAATATATTTTATGTTTAACCCAGTATTTTGACATAAATATAGAAAATTGCTGGTCCAGTGATCTACATGATGTAAGGCGTAGTAACTTGCTGTGAGGCTAAGGCCCATACAATTGTACATTATACCTATCTGGGCCCACAAAGCGATCTTAGCGCTAAGATGATCGTAACTTCCATACTTTAACATAGACTAACAATAGTCTTAGCGCTAAGATGATCGTAACTTCCATACTTTAACATAGGTAGGCTTTGTGCAAGTGGGCCCTGGAGTTCATAACTGTGGGTTTGAATCCAAGGTTACGATTCTTGGAAGTTTAACAGTCAGCATCAGATCTGTGCTGGGATTTCACCAAACTTTGTTTGTTGTTTAACACCTTAATATTCCACAGGGCTCCAGATAATTTTTCAGCATCAGGAGTATGTACTTCTTATTTTACTGTAGAAGGTCTGGCAAAACTAAAGAATACACTTAGAGTGCTGAATGGAATTTAATGGATTAATCTTGTATTTCATTTTAGATATGCATGACAGCATTTCTACTCTCATGTAAACAGGTCAATAAACAATAAATAATACTTCATGGTTGTACATAATGCGCACTCCCCTCTGGAGTATTCAGTATTTTGGGGGGAATTTGAGTATTATGAGCAGAATACTTTTACATCAAATCCCCTTCAGTAAAGTCAGGTTAACGAACAGATGATAACATATTTGAGGAAATACAATATTGAAATTTGAGATTAAATATCACTAGACATGATGATTTACTGTTTAAATTGTATTTCCAGTTCTACTAGCCATTGTTTTACATGCAGAGATTGAGATTACTGTGTGTATTTTCACGTAAACTAAATCAGAAACAGCAATGAGCTGTACACACATTTTCTACCAATCTACCGGTGATTCGGTTACAAATGACCCACTAATATAACTTGAAAGAATGTTGATGCAATGATCGGAAGAATTGTACCTGAAAACTATTATCAAATCAAGAATAATATATTCCAATATCATGTTATTTTAGTTGCAGCCGTACTACATATATCTAAAATAATAATAAGCATTAGCGTACTACTAACTCTCGTACAGCAGATCGCTATTGCCAGACATATATTACGTATTGAACAATAAAACCAGTCACTGTCGAGGCTCCCTGCATTCGCGCTAGAAGCGCCATGTTGACATATAACAGACAAACCACAACAAATATGACTTTCAATTAGTCAAAGTATGGCATTTATTATCCATGTATCCATTCTCTGTCAAATAAAGTTTGTGTCAAGCCATCAGTAACAGTAACCTGACCGTGGTTTCTGTAAATCATGGTGAGTTATGTGATCTACTGATCACTTCACAAACGATTTCGAAGAAATTAATGCAAACAACACTGAATGAAATTTTGAATAAAAGTAATAAAATAAGTTACAAACAAGTCCAAATATAGAATTAACACTTTTGGTAACCAGACAGTATAAATGCATGATTTCTTTGCATACTTCAGTTCAGTTTTGTTGACATGGTATTTACAGTGTTACTTGCTCATGGTAATGTCTTTGTGTTGGGAAAAAAACACATCAAAAGTCATTATGGCGAGTATAATGCACACCCCCTCCACAATAAGTTTACACAGCTGTGTTTTTTGGAAAAAAGTGTGCACTAAACTAAAGAAAGTAATCATAATATAATTTTGGGGAAATATGTCTAGAAATGAATGTTAGACGCATGTAACCAAGTCACGGAGCATGACCACCCAATCTACATAGTCAACTCTTACAACCAGCATAGTCTGCTGGAGAATAATACTAACCCAGAACCTCAAGAGTGTCCACCAAAGTAGTACATGCCAAATACTTCAGTTCTTTTGACTTTTCTCCCTCCCATCAAAAAAACTGACAGTCATGTCACCAAACATAACTTTCAAAATGAAGTGACATCCTAAACATCACAAGCTTCTAACATGCTAACTCACACACCAATATGTTTTTGATTAATTTCCAACTGATCTCTGCATTTTATTTTAATCCAAGCACTGTAATCAAAACCGCAAAATTTTATCATTTTGTCCTGATGTATATATTGTCTTGATCATGCTGATGTTATTACAGTTTTAGGACCCGTGAAGATCCGGGGTAGAATAGGTCTTCAGCAACCCATGCTTGCTGTAAAAGGCGACTATGCTTGTCGTAAGAGGTGACTAACGGGATCGGGTGGTCAGGCTCGCTGACTTGGTTGATGCATGTCATCAATCCCAATTGCGTGGATCGATGCTCATGACATTAATCACTGGATTGTCTGGTCGAGACTTGATTATTTACAGACCGCCATCATATAGCTGGAATGTTGCTGAGTGTGGCATTAAACAATAAACCAACCAACCCTATAACAGTTTTAAACATTGGTATAAACATTTTACTACAGTGTTGTTATATGCAGTATGTGCAACATTGTTCCAATCTACAAGTAATAAAATAAGGCTTTCGAACTTCCACTCATTTAGCAGTTAACTGAGGGATTCCTTTATGTCAGAGACAACCAGTCTCTCGAAATATAAGCTAACTGCTTTTGTGTATAAAGAAATATGACGGTAGCAACAAAAGATATCGTACTCACATTCGCAATCTGAAGTCATTAATGACCGTATTTCTACATGAACTTGCCGTGGCAGAGCCTATCGTCAGGGCGGCCGCTGCAGAAACACTGTCATTATTTCAGCTACTTCGCATTTATTGCTAACCGAGGTGTCTTGCAACTATGTAGATCTCACATATGAAACATCGCGTTTAATTAGAAAACTTTGCACGGAAGTAAACTCCATAAACTTCGACCATAAAAGTTTGCTACTATTTGTGACAGGAGAGTCGCAGTCTAGGGAGCAGTCATTTAGGGAAACTGACATACGGCATTCTCACACTGCACGCAAGTTCGCGACCTCTGCTGCGCCATTCGTAAGCGCATTAGTCACTTTTATGGGTGGTAATGAGGGCGTATGGTCACATTGATCAACAAAATTAAATACAGTTTTCGAGATAATTAGGAAATGTAGGTATCTTTGTGGGTAGCATCGGTAATGGTGACGAAGTTTTGATAAGTCACTAGCTTGGTAATTTTGCGATTTCCGTTTACACTATTTTGACTTGCAACACAAAGTAAATATTTCACCTGAGCATTGCTTTTTTATAGTGTGTATATTTTTTTACTGTCAAAATGTGTAACATTTTCAAATTTATTAAACGCCTAAATATTCAGTTATTTTACAAAGTGACTGAAAAACATTTCCATCTGTATTATTATGATAACGAATTCCAAACATTTTTATGTTTAATGTCATCACCAAGAGGCTGAAAATGTTACGTTGAAAAGTACATTTCTATGTTGTTTGGCTTCTAATCCTACATAATAATCTGTTGTGATGTTTTTAGGCCCTTTTGATCGTCCTAATCACTTTTAGTCGATCTGGACAGATTTTTCAGTCAAAATGACAGAAATATTTACATATTCTATAAATTGCCCGAGAGAATCCCATTTTACAAATTGACGGTAATATATACACGCTTACAAAGGAAAAGACTTGAGAAAACGTCTATTTCCCAACCAAGACGTAGAGGAACAAGAACGAATCGGTTCAATCAGAGACCATATAATAATCTATTATATGGTCTCTAGTTCAATGCTACAAAAAAAAGTAAATCAACTGATCATTCACCTCTTGCTGGGCTGCCACGTGTATATTATATAACACACATTTAACCTCACTTCAAACCTGGATTTAGATTGAATAATTACCCCAGACACAATAAATGCCAAATGGGAACCTTTGTCAGGTAATCTAAGTGGTGCTACCACTAATTGTACCTGTAATAAATTCATTAACTGAGCATCAAGTGAATAACGACAAATACACAAGTGTAGGTTATACCAGAAAACGTGGATGACAAGGGAGTAGTAATCGAGGCAATCCGAAATCCGAAAATGCTTTCACTGCATGGATACTTTTTTATTATTATTAAACTATAACCATCTGTTGTATTTCCAAATGACGACATCCGATGAGCTCCGCCGTTCTTTTTGTCTGTTTTTGTTTGTTTAGACTGAAGAAATTAATTAACATGCGCCCTTTGTCGAAATCTTTATAGATCACAGTTAACCCATCAGTGTTCAAAAATGCGTAAAACAAATATTGCCTCCAGCCTCCAAGTTTATTTAGCTATCCTTGCAGACGGTAGCCCAGTCTCTATATCACGCTCAGTTGCGTTGCGTATCATCCGGGTACTCACGGGGAAAAAACAATAACAAAGGCAACAACCAGTCCGGGGAACTGTGTTAGATCAGTGCCCCTTTAATGACGTCGTTATCAGTAAAACCAAAAGTAGATTTTTTAATTTTATTTTTTAACTAATCAAGGTTATTTCACATCATAAACACCCCGTTAAAACATAACAATGAACAATATGCAATTATGTTCATAGCTGAACTTATAGAATCCTTTTCGTCATTGTACAGTCGGTTACATGGAATGAAATGTGTAAACATATCTTTGCGACACATGCATGTGTTCTATTTTTAGGGTTATAGATATAGATTATTACTGAGTCTTCAGCAACCCATGTTTGCTGTAAAAGGCGACTATGCTTCTCGTTAGGGGCGACTAACGGGATCGGGTGGTCAGGCTCGCTGACTTGGCTGATGCATGTCATCGATCCCAATTGCGTGGATCGATGCTCATGATATCAATCACTGGATTGTCTGGTAACAGGGTCAACATGACGTAAACACGACTCGGTGACGTTATCATTGTGACGTCATCACGTCACTATTTTACGCTCTCCGTATTACAATGCTGTTTGGAATATATAGAGATTATTATACGAGCATGTGTGTCATACTGATTATACAAAACGAGTGTCATTATTCCTGTATTTCCGCGAGAAGAGAGGATAATATATGAATTCTTACACGAGTTTCGTCAAATCAGGATGACACATGCGAGTGTAATAATTTCTTTGATACCCATTTTCTCTTAATCCTTTTGAGCGCCCCTTTAGAAAAATGCACCGATAACGAACGCCATCTCAGAAAACCACAATTGTCGAATGACGTCAACAATCTTCATCTGTGACTTCTTTGAGAGGTATTTAGAAGTTGGAGTACTAAGTAAGGATAAGATATATGGATGAACAACTTCTTTATTACAATTAGGAGCGACGTTTCGGTGTAGGTTCTAACACCGTTATCAAGCAAGTGATAGGGATACAGGTATGAGGCAGTGTTTATACAGTTGAGTAGATTTGGGTGTAGTTACATTGGAGTGGCGAAGCCTGTTATGTACACAAGTGATATAAGGTTAACATCAATTAACTGTGGTTCACTCCCAATAATGTCAGAGGTGCCAATCATCGGACAGTGTGACCAGTATCCCTGCCTACCTACTTAATTAATGAGCATCTCCCAACTGTGAGCAGAGTAAGATTCTTCAACTCGTTAGAGGATACAGATTTACAAGGTTTTAACCAGTGTTTAACTAGTATTATAAGTTGTGTTTGATCTGTGCACGTTGATTTCAATCTTCCACGGTCTGTTTCCCATGTGGGTCTAGGCATCTCTCAAAGTGCATGGTGGTATTTGGAGACAGTGCCTGTGTTTCGAGATATTGGACGTTTGTAGAACACTTCTGAAATGTATTTGAATAATCTAGCCTCATCCAAAACATCACACATATAAGACTAATATTTGATCCATATATAGTCCCAAACTGGACTGGTATAGACGTCGTAGACGGCGCGTCACAGGGGTAAAATGACGTTTAGCCATGTAACGTGAATCCAGTTTATATCAGTGGTGCCTTTAAAATGTCAGCATAATAACTGCTCCCTGAGCACGAATACAAGGTACTATTCTTTACAACTAGCTATTTAGCTTGTCTTCTCTATGAATTTGACGATGCACTGTTGATATATAATTACAAACTATATCTATTTTTATATACACATTACTGAAATAACTGATTCTGTTATATTTGATAAGCGAATAAATTCATTTTAAAAGAAATGCGTTACTAATATGAATACATTAACATTAGTTCTTACGAAACATACATTCGAAGGGGCATCTGCAGCACAAATGAACCTGTGACATTGCAGTCATAACAGGATGTGTGTTCGTCATTCAAAGGGAAGTAACTACAGGTGAATAAATGTGTGGTCAATGAACCAACCACAATAAACATATCGGCAGGTGTTGAGAGTGAAGTTTTGTGGAATATTCTTTCTGAAGGTAGGAGAAATTTATTATTTTGCATATTTGTAAACGAGCACAACATGTGATCGCCAGCGTTACTTTACCACGTTAAAGTGTATTGAATGAAAAGGGGTGGAGCAGACGGAATGTCTTATATCATTGTTTACACCTGTGGATAGACCTTTGGGTCACGTGTAATTTTATTTCATAACGCGGAAATGTCATGTCACATCGTATAACGCTGGTCGCTTTTCTCTCAAATGATGCTTTAATATAGTGACGTCTGTTAGCCGAGTAATATCATCAGCTGATCGTCTGAGGTAAGGCTTACAACTTACTGTGACACTTTGTGATTTTTTTTAGGATTGACCCATCTACCTGATCACTTGATGACAGCCCCTTTAGTTCTACTGTCTGCATTGCAATGTAGCATGTTGGATGCCATGAAATGTTTATCTGGTATGGATGCTTGTATAGCAATGTTGAAATATATTTTTGAGTGATAAATCACTAAAATATTTCGCCTTAAAGGGGGGCACTGATCTAACGCAATTCCCCGGACTGGTTGTTGCCTTTGTTATTGTTTTTTCCCCGTGAGTACCCGGATGATACGCAACGCAACTGAGCGTGACCAGAGACTGGGCTACCGTCTGCAAGGACAGCTAAATAAACTTAGAGGTTGGAGGCAATATTTGTTTTACGCATTTTTGAACACTGATGGGTTAACTGTGATCTATAAAGATTTCGACAAAGGGCGCATGTTAATTAATTTCTTCAGCCTAAACAAACAGACAAAAAGAACGGCGGAGCTCATCGGATGTCATCATTTGGAAATACCCCAGATGGTTATAGTTTAATAATAAAAAAGAGTATCCATGCAGTGATAGCATTTTCGGTTTTCGGATTGTGTCGATAATACGATTACTACTCCCTTGTTGTCATCCACGTTTTCTGGTATAACCCTACACTTGTGTATTTGTCGTCATTCACTTGATGCTCAGTTAATGAATTTATTACAGGTACAATTAGTGGTGGCGCCACTAAGATTACCTGACAAAGGTTCCCATTTGGCATTTATTGTGTCTGGGGTAATTATTCAATCTAAATCCAGGTTTGAAGTAAGGTGAAATGTGTGTTGTTTAATATGCATGTGGCAGCCCAGCAAGAGGTGAATGATCAGTTGATTTACTTTTTTTGTAAATCAACGGATCGTTCGTAGTCATCAAAGGATTAACAGAAATACGTTGATTGATTAATCACTGTTATCTTGCACAGTGGATATGTCAAAAGTGAGTGTTTACATGTCTAGGTTTACTAAAACAAAGGGAATACACTCATATCATGGCGTGAAGTGCCGATGTAAAGATAACATACTTTGTTCAAAGGGTTAACTGATAATACGTTGATTGATTGCTCATTGTTATCTATCACTCAATTGATTTTTTAGGAACCGTGGACGTTATGAAAATAGTTGTCACGTGGGTTTTCTCAGCCGACCCTTGAGACTTGACACCTATGTGAAACACCTGAAACAATCTAAGTGATCAGTTGAGAAACGAACACGGATTATAATATCCCGAAACGATATATATCTTTTAAAGTATTTGATTGTTACAGAGACACGTGACATCGAATAAGTTTCTTTGTACAGCTGCAGATGAGTGGCAAATTGCTCCTTTGTGTGGATATTCACGGATACATTCCTCGAATAAGGAAGCTGCCTAAAATTATATACATAAATTTGGTAGGTTGTAATTATGGTATTTGCATTTTGTTTTCCTTCATTTGCTGTAGCATTGAACTGATTCGTTCTTGTTCCTCTACGTCTTGGTTGGGAAATTCTTCAATGCGTGATAGACGTTGTTTTCACAAGGCTTTTCCTTTGTAAGCGTGTATATATTACCGAATTTGTAAAATGTGATTCTCTCAGGCAATTTATAAAATTTGTAAATATTTCTGTCATTTTGACGGAAAAATCTGTCCAGATTGACTTAAATTGATTAAGACGATCAAAATGGCCTAAAAACATTACAACAGATTATTATGTAGGATTTAGAAGCCAAACAACATAGAAATGTACTTTTCAACGTATCATTTTCAGTCTCTTGGTGATGACATTAAACATCAAAATGTTTGGAATTCGTTATCATAATAATACAGATGGAAATGTTTTTCAGTCACTTTGTAAAAAAACTGAATATTTAGGCGTTTAATAAATTTGAAAATGTTACACATTTTGACAGTAAAGAAATATACACACTATAAAAAAAGCAATGCTCAGGTGAAATATTTTCTTTGTGTTTCAAGTCAAAATAGTGTAAACGAAAATCGCAAAATTACCAAAACAAGTGACTTATCAAAACTTCGTCACCATTACCGATGCTACCCACAAAGATACCTACATTTCCTTATTATCTCGAAAACTGTATTTCATTTTGTTGATCAATGTGACCATATGCCCTTATAACTACCCATAAAAGTGATTAATGCACTTACGAATGGCGCAGCAGAGGTCGCGAACTAGTCTCGTTTTCTGCTATACATCCGGGTACTCACAGGGAAAAAACAATAACAAAGGCAACAACCAGTCCCAGGGAATTGCTTTAGATCAGTGCCCCTTTAAGCTCCTCAGCATGCACGCACAGTGTACACTGATATGACCAGAGTTATTTAATTGGATGCCAAGACAAATTAAGTGGTATACCGGATGCAAAGAGGGTCGGGGGTGGCACCCTCATAGATGACTGAGAAGTAACCAATAAAGATACAAATGTTAATACCTGGGCCCACTTGCACAAATTGATCTTAGCTCTAAGATGATCGTAACGCCAATACTTTAACATAGGCTTACAATAGTCTTAGCGCTAAGATCGCTTTGTGCAAGTGGGCCCTGATGTAGGGTACAGAGACTACACATTAATTACATAATATTTAATTATTATAATATCTGTGACCATTCGTCATATTTATAAAATTTTGATCAGATTAACAAGAAAAAAATACCCATCAAAGACATGAGAAAAATATTGTCACAGACCATTTAGATAGGTTTGGCACAATCAAGTCAAGTTACTGTTACTATAGATTATGGCTGTCAGCCTATATTGCTAATGTCCCACATTGTTGTTGTCATGGACCATTTTTATATGTTTGGAATTATATGGGTAGTTTATGACAGTTAGCAGGTACCAGATGTCTGTCTGCAGCCCGGCAGTGGCATATCATTGTAATATATATGTCCAGTCCTTCTCTTTTTATGAAAACTCTTTCAGGATTCAGTGTTAGAATTGGTCCACAGGAATCCTTGCTTGTTGCAAGAGGCAGCTTAATGGGTTCAGTGGTCAGACTTGGTGACTTGGTTGATGGCCAAGATATATTGTTGCTGTTAATAACAATCACAGGATTGTTTGGTCCAGAATCAATTGTTTACAGGCTGCAATCATACAGCTGGAATAAAGCTGATCATGGAGTAAACAACAAACAAAACAAACTCTTATTGTAAACATTACAGCTTAATTACCAAAACCTCCTGGGTCTACTTCCCAAAATTGTTTCTTGGCATCATTATTAGTAGATTTTAGCATTATATTAGTATTAATATGGACTCTCTTCGATAAGTGTACCAGATCAAAGACAGTTTGATGAAACTTGGACTTTGGACTATATATAGTGGCTGATGTCCAAGCCTGACATGATTTATGTCATTGTGTTGAGAGGGAATATCAATGCACCATACCTTGTATATGTTTCTTTTTTAGGGCTATTTCATTTAATATGGCTGATGTTGGATAACATGCTTATTGCAACAGGCTGTGTCTCCAGGATCACAATGTACAACATGTTGCAATATTGTTTTGCTGCTTCAGAGTTGTTGCCCATTTCCAGTATTAATTGATGTAGATGTTGTAAACTTGTATTCATTATCATGATTACTGCAGTGTGTTATACTGAAATAATATCTCTGTGAAATTAGGATATTCAGTAACTGATGGATTGATAAACAGAAATCGCATGGCAGTCAAAGCTAAGTGGTGTTTGAAAACTTGCTATGACTTCAGATTTGCTCGAGAAGGAGCAATACCAAAGTTGCAGTGAGAATTTTATTTTTTGTAGCCTATGTCATGGACAGTAATAGATTTATTAATGTCTGTGCATACTTTCATGATGATTTTTTTCATATTAAACAGTTATGATGATGTCAAACAGTAGTTGTTGCAGCTGATTTCAAATCTAGGAATTACCAGCCATTCTGAATGCATTTTCAACAAGTAAAACTGACGCAACTGCCATTATGCAAAATTATTGAGAAATTATATGTAAACCATATGTTTAAATGTTTAAATCATAGAATTCTCATTATACTTCTGGAATCAACAGTTTTGAGTGATTTCTCCATTACCTCTGATATACAAATATTTTATTTCGTAGAGATTTCTTCCATACCCCAACTTCCAAGGTTTATTCAATGTATTACAAAACTTCCATGTATCCCTGTTCCTTTATCCTTCAACATAATACAAACATAGATTGAACCAGAATGTGCATAACAAGAGGAATTGATTGTGTTAATACTGGTAATAAAAACCTTCATTGAATAGGCAAGGAAAAGTACAAATAAACACGCAACTTATTTCTTCACAACCAAAAAAACCTCTTCCTTGTTTGAAAGAGTTGCAAAAGAGCCTTCTGTATGTTTGACTTTTTGAATGAAAATAATACTTTTCAATCATGCTGTTAGGTGGCACAAGAAAGGATGAAGTCAAATCAAATTTTTATCCCCAATTTTAATCCCCAACTCCTTAAATAAGTGAGTGAGTGAGTTTGGTTTAACGTTTCTTTTAACAGTATTACAGTTATATTGCGGCGTGTCAGCTTAATGTGGGAGGAAAGACCGAAGTGATATAGGTCTCAGACGTTTACCACTTTGGTGAAAGCCACAAGCATGGGTATGGTGCTGACAAACCTAGAAACATAATCAGGGCAAATGGGGAATCGAACCCACAATCATAGGTTTCTGGCGTGTCCAAGGGACACAA